CTCTCTCTCTCTCTCTCTCTCTCTCTCTCTCTCTCTCTCTCTAGCATTTACCCAGGGCGAGGGTTATCGTTATCGGCCGGAGCGCGTGGATCAGGAATGAAGCCGACGTAACCATCGTTCTGCGGGTTAGGCCACCTCATACGCATCGCCTCCTCGAATTCCGCCGGCAGTCTCTGACGGCGAGTGTAACCGCAGAGGTTTGCGAACTCCCTGTACCCTGCGAATCTGTTAGCCGCCGCGTCCAGTCGATCGTTTCTCACGAGGATATGCAAAAACTGCTCATTGGGGTCCTCCTCACCGACAATCTGTACTGCGATTTCAACCAAAAACGCAGGATGAGGCCGTGCTGCTCGTATTTGATCCCCGTTCATTTGCGGGGGAGGAGGTCATGGGCGACGTGCCACGACGACTGCTGGCCCAAACCCAGGGCCCCCTCGACCACGCACAACTCTACGTCTTGGTCGACGGCCGTACACCATGTCCCCATCATCTTCGTTGTTGGGTGCTTGAGGTTGTGCCTGCTCCATTATAGTGTCATGTCGTGAGTATCTGCAACAGATGCGATGGAAGTCAGTGTCGGTGCGTGGAACATGGGAAAGAAATATCCAAAAAAAGGTTCTCCATTGCAGACAGAGTATGGCGGACAAACGACAAGCCTCCACACACCGTTTTGCACAACGGCTTTGACATTAGAACTCGAACATGGTCGAGGTTGTTATTTCCGAGCACTACGCTTTCAACTAGATCCACGAGTCCAAGTTCCAGGGCCCGGAACAATGACCGAACTATTTTTGCTTCTTCACTTTTGAAAATTTCGTCCTTCACAGCCAGCAGAGTTATGATCCTCGTCAGGACCCGAACCCCGACACGACACGGAAACATACGACCCAGAGTTGTCCCAGGATATACTGACTGAGTCTGGCGTCTGGGTTGTGCTTCCTAATAGGGAGGTCGCAGCTTGTGGCAAAGAGAAACCGAGTTGGACTTCAGTGCAGCCATGAATGTCGCGGCCCGAAACAAGGAACGAAGTCGAAGGGTTAGTGGAATCAACACGAGGCTTGCCCTCCTCGCACAGCAGACGTTGCTCACGGATTGTGCAAAGAGCCTCCCGATTATCCAATTCTTTTTTTTTTCCGCAAGGACGACACAATTGTTTGCACCCGGGAATACGATGTCGACAGCACAACACGTGCGTTGTTGAGGTCGTTTGTCACCGTTTTTATATGTTTATCTATCTCATCGAGGTCATATTTGCCTTCATTGCCTTCTGCATTTGACTGGTCGAGGCCGTCCGTTTTGCATGGTGGCAGACGGCGCATACGGTCACGGAGCGAAACCTTTTTTCGTTCATCATGAGGATTCATGACACGGCCACAGACTGAGCAACGTGATATCTGGAAACACAAAACAAGAAACAAGAGTCGTGAACACATCACACAGTATGGGTTGAGGATGACGTCGCGCACTGTTCATGCATGATATATATATATATATATATATATATATATATATATATATATTGTCCTCTTCTCTCTCTCTGCCTACGGTTTATCGGGCAATTCTGTTTGTAACGATATATATATATATACTAGCTAAGCACCCGCGGTGCGGGCGGTGCAG